CGGCCCTGTGGGTCGGAGATTGCTTCAGCTAATTCCTTAAGTAACCTAGGATGAATTTCATCAGGCCTTGCCAACTTGAATACATCTAACTTATCTAAATATTCTTGAACCTGTTCTTTTCCTATATGGGTTTGCGTTCCTTCCCTTGTGTTGTTAATATTAATTGTATTGAGTATCCTGGTCAGGTCACCATTAACCTTTTTACTGAAGACTGAATCAAAATAGGCATTAAACATCTCAACCTGCTAGATGTCATCAGATATTAGCTCTCCTTCCCCACCAAGTAGAAGACCTATGTTTCCTTTGTCTTTCTCTTGTTCTTAATGTATTTATAGAATCTATTCTTATTGTCTTTTATGTCCCTTGCTAGGTGTAACTCATTTTGTGCCTTAGCCTTTCTGACTTTGTCCTTACATTCATAGAGTCCTAAATTCTAAGGCCAGATAGAACTATTATGATCATCGAGTGTGACCTCCAGAAAATGTGAATTGTCTGTTAACAAAAGTATTTGCTCTTGTTCGTTTAAGGTGAATTTGGAGAAGTATGCAGTGGACGTCTGAAGACCCCAGGAAAAAGGGAGATTCCTGTTGCCATTAAAACTTTGAAAGGTGGCTATGTGGACAGGCAGAGAAGAGATTTCCTGAGAGAGGCTAGTATCATGGGACAATTTGACCACCCAAATATTATTCGCCTCGAAGGAGTTGTTACAAAAAGTAAGTTATTAATCTATTTTATTTCTTCCCTGTTGTGCCCCTGGTTTGGTATCAAAATTAAGGGCATCTTTCATGTTAAAAATAAATGCGATTGCATTCCACAATAATGACCCAAACCACCGGTGTATGGAAGTTACTATAAACTTTGGGGCCAGTATTTTAGAATAGTGTAGGATATGTGTTTTTTAATAAGGGATGCTACATCTCTGTAAAAATCCACCTCATTCAAATAATACCTTTAGAGGTTAATATGAAATAGGATTGCAGTGTTATCTACTGGAAAATTGAATACAAGAGAGAAATCTAGAATCCCAAATATTGTGAACATGAAGGCAAATTACCTTGCAGAGATAGGAAAGTGGTAGCTATATTCTTTGTTTCCCACAGCCACCCACTTTCTATCATTCTATAGTGTTACACTGATATTAGTATCTGAATGAACTCATTTCCTATCTACAAAAAATAAAAGTGTAAATCCTTTGTTAAAAAATCGTTGTACACTTGCAAAGCCTTCAGGAAAACGTTATGAAGAAAAACAAATACAGTTCATTCCCTATTTTTAATTTAGAATAATCTATCAAACTTCTTCATCTTTATTCCTATTCACAAGAAGCAAAAAACCCAAACAAACAAAAAACACCTTACTGTTCCAGCAATACCCCAATCATCTTAATCCATATTTTTGTTAGGTTAAGAAACTTCCTAAAGAACTAAAATGCACAGTGACTATTTAAGTCTGAGATGAATGTCCTATTAACATGCATGAAATTTATTCATAGCAAACTTTTTGTAACAACGAATTCCAAGCCTCAGGAGGCATGATATTCTTATAATGAAATCCTTGCTATACCCAACTCATGATGTTTGCTGATTTGCAATGCTTCTTCTGTTTATTTCTCTCTTAAAGTGGATTTAGACTTTATGAAAGGTAATGACTGATAGTATAAAGGAGTGAAGTCCTTTTGTCTGCACAGCAAATACAACATAGGCAGTGCAAGCTTTTCTGTTATCACCCCTTCAAATTGTCTAACGCTCGACTTGGGAGACACTATGTACTAGAAGTAAGATGGCAGGCTTGTTTTCTGTGGTTAAGGCACTGAACTGGAACTGCCACAGACTCACTGTGGGACCTTGGGCAAGTCAATCTCTCTGTGCCTTGGCTCCAAATCTGTACAATGTGGATAATAATGCTTCCCTTCCTCACAATGTCATTGCAATGATAAATTCATTAATGTTTATGAGGTGCTCAGATACAGTGATGAGGACCATATGCTGTAAACTTCCAGATCAGTATAGTTTGATCTTCATTATTGTTCAATCATTGATCACTCTGCTGAAACTAGCAAGGTTGCCAATTCATGCCAGGTAAGATACCATTGAGGGGGACAAGCATGGTTGTGAGAGATATGGAAATCTGTAGGATCTTAATTGAAAGCAGCTGCTTGTTTCGTGTACCCTGGTGGACAGCCATCCGATAGCAATAATCACTTTCAATCTTTACCAACCTGGGCTGTTTATGAACGAATGTCATAGAAATAACTTGACTCCGTATCCCATTACTCATTAGCTGATTCAACAGTGTAACTTAATATGTCTTATTTCTGAAAGAAGCTAGGGATTGTGATTCACAGTAATTGTTTACATTCAGTTACATGTTGCATACCTAATAGAATAGAATATACTTCGTGTTTAATCTTTGCCACACTTCTAAATTATCTTATTTATAATGTGTTGTCATCCATTCTAGTGAGAAGTGGGGCAGGAGTTAGAAACAATGAAATCAGTGCAAGTCTTTGTTCCTAGCACTGGACAGGCAAATTTGGGTCTTACGTCACCTTAAATCAATAAGATAATTAGCACTTGTTCTTTCCACTAAGGACTGCAGATACCTTACTATTGCTTTTAGAATATTTGCCTAAAGGTGATATAGGAGTGTGTGTTCCTGTGGCTTATAGTTATAGTTACACAAAAATGTATTGCTGTCAGATTATAATAAAAATCTAGCATTTTGATCGTTAAAAAGACAACTACGTGGGATGCAACAGGATTAATTCTAGCACTGTTTTATTGGTGCGGTTGGGACTATATTGTCAACAAATTTCACTTTAAATGCTAGACTGTGCAATTTGCACATAGCATGAAGTAAGGAGCTGTGCAGAGCTGACCTACTCTGAAAGACATGCCAGGAGGGGTTCCAAGTTCCCTGGTAACCAGAGGGAGCATGCACTCTGCTGCAGTCCTTCTGCTTCCCAGCATGTTGTGGTGGTGTAGCCATGGCTCCATCTTCTCCCCTCACTGCCTCCTTTGAGACACCATATGCCCCGGTGGGTAGTGTGCATGTAGTCCCTGCGCTTTCTTGAGAGCGCAGAGTCTGCAATTCTGCCAACACAAGCCAAGAAGGAAGGGAGGTTTCTTACTCCCACTGTGAACCCCTAGAAAGGTCAGGCAGAATTTGTCCCTAGATGCCTTGTTTGTTGATAAAATGATTACAAGGTGCTTTTTCTTAAGAGGTAAACTGATAACAGCCGAAACTGTTTATCTGATATGCATCTCCATTGCACTAAGCTGTAGAGATACATCTGATAGAATAAGTTTGATTAACAGAGTTGTACCACTATGCTTAGCACATTCTTTCCCCTCTAGTAGCCCTCAGGTGTAGCTGTAGCCATTGCTGGTATATATTGCATCAGTTTGCAAAGCAGTACTCTCCTTAACTAAGTCATTGGCTATTGAACTACAAAAGAGAAAGTAATTGATTGCAATAAACAGAAGAGCGTTACCAAACAAGTAATTATTGACCGGGGAACAGCAAATGCTTCCATGCATTACACAAATGATAGATCTTATCTTGCATTACTAAGTAAGCAGAAGTTAGCGTTTAAGTAATAGTATTCCCCAAAGTTGCCCTGTGTGTGGTCTGTCAAGGGTACGTCTACACTTACCGGAGGGTCCAGCGGCAGGCAATCGATGTTCTGGGATCGATTTATCGCGTCTGGTTTAGACGCGATAAATCGATCCCGGATCGATCCCGGAAGTGCTCGCCGTCGACGCCGGTACTCCAGCTCACTGAGAGGAGTACGTGGCATCGACGGGGGAGCCTTCCTGCCGCATCTGGACCCGCGGTAAGTTCGGACTAAGGTACTTCGAATTCAGCTACGTTATTAACGTAGCTGAATTTGCGTACCTTAGTCCGAAGTGGGGGGGTAGTGTGGACCAGGCCAAAGAAAAGAATGCTGTAATAGCCCTTTTGCAAATGAATAATTCTGCATTTAAAGGATTTATTCAGCAGATTTGTAATTTCCTTTTCTGACTGTTGTCTTTCTTACATGTGCCAGTCATGCCCCCTGTCCCGACGGCAGGGAGAGCTGGGTATAACTGCTGCACCAGCTCTATGTCACCAGAGGATCCAGTTACAGTGTGCTGGTCTTCCCATGGCCCATTTTGTTGGCTGTAGGAACACTTTCCGTCAGCAGTGCAGACCAAAGCAGGCATGCCACAGCACAGAATCTGGGCCCAGCAGTTCATTTACATCACTACTCAAAGGGCCAGACGCAAAAAGGAGCTGTTGCTTACACTGGATTTGTTTTAGAAACACTATTGATTTATGTGGGTTGCAATAAAAAGGCCATTTGTTGTCTACAGATCCACTCAGATATGCTTGTCTAGAGCAGTGGAGAAAATCCATGCTTCCCTTTCAGGTCAATCTGCTGTAGTGATGATGTTAGGTCTGCCTTTGGGAGCCCTGTTCATGAGCCAGTTTTTGTGTTTCACTCTGAGCATACTCAGCTGAGTTTGTGTTTCTTTAGCCACACTGACAGCCTTTCATAAATGGGTGTTGGAGAGGTGAGGAAGCTGCTTGCTTCATAGTACTCAGCAGGGCCGGCTCTAGGCACCAGCAAACCAAGCACGTGCTTGGGGCGGCACATTTTCAGGGGCGGCATTCCAGCCATCTGTTTGTTTGTTTTTTTTGCTTCGGGCAGCAAAAGCCTAGAGCTGGCCCTGGCAGCAGCAGCGCGTCGTGCGCGGGGGGCGCCCTGGGGCCGCCGTGGTTCGCGCCGTGGGGGAGCAGCGCCCACACCTTGTGGCTGGGCCAGGCAGGCCCTGAGTGGGGGACACTCAGGCTGGGGGCTGCCCCGCGGGGCACACAGAGCCGCCTGCAGATGCCGCAGGGCGGCCGCCCCCCAGCGCCGCAGCCGGGGCTGGGCGAAGCGGCCCGAGCCGCCCAGGGACTGTGGCAGGGTGGCCAGAAGCAGCAGCAGCAGCGGGGCCATAGAGGACGGGGTGCTGCTGGGTGGGGCCCGCGTCCCACTCTCCGGGGCTCCGCTCCTCTGGGGCTACCCTGCCCTGGCTCCTCAGCCCCCTGCTGGGGCAGTCCCCCGGCTCTGCTCTCCCGGGTCCTGGCCGGTCCTGGAGGCGGGAGCCCTGGCTGGAGGAACCCTGGGCTGAGGCGTGGCCCGGGAGCCCCGCTGCTTACCCCGACGCTGCCAGTGCCGGATTGGCTGGAGGCGAGGGGGAAGTGGGCAGAGTCAGCCCTGGTGGGGGGGAGCCCAGGGCTGGGGCAGCAGGGGGTGCGGGTGGGGGAGGATACTGGTGGGGGGGGTAAGAGCCCAGGGCTGGGGTGGGGGGCAGTCAAAATTGTTTTTGCTTGGGGCGGCAAAAAACCTAGAGCCGGCCCTGGTACTCAGATGTTGCCGTGACAGGGGTCCAATGGGGGCCACACTGAGTTTGCTTAATTAGGGCAAACTGCAAAGAATGGGGCAGACAATCCCCAAAGCTGGTGGTTATTCCAATACTTAGTTCCACCAAGCTAGCCAAAAACAGCTTCTATAATACCTTACTGGTTATACAGAAGTCAAACACAGTCCCCTTAAAAGCAAACCCAGCCTTTGGGCTCCTCCCAGACAGCCAAGTCAAATATGAAAGTTCTACCAATTGCAAAGGATCGGACACATTACCTCCCAGGTTAATGACTATTTCAGATCTTTACCCAAATACACACT